TTAAAATGTAAATTAATGCAAAAAAAGAAAATCCCACAAGGAACAAAATATTCAATAAGGACAGATTGGACCTTGGACTTGAGTGGCTCACTGGGACCCTGGCCCTGGCCCTGATAATGTGTCCAGTTCACAGGGCCATTTGTTACTGTGACAGAAGGAACACACTTCTGCAGTCAGTTGTGATCTCTACACAGCATTACTCCCAACTCCTCTCCCACATTTCCCTTTGGTGGGGCAGGGTTGGTCTATTCAGGTGCATGCTGGGGCTCATATTTATGGATGGATGAGTTGGGGTAACGTTTTGGTTTCAGTTTAGTGGAAGATTTTTAAAGATCTCAGCATTTTTTTTCTATGTTTAAGTTACTGCTAGTCAATTCTATTGGTTTCGTCTTCCTCTGTAACAAATTATCACAAATGCAGTGACTCAAAGCAACACAAAGTCATCATCTGAACAGATCTGGAGGTCGGAACTCCTAAGTGGGTCACAGGGCTGCACCCCTTCAGAGGCTCTAGGGGAGACTGCATCTCCTCGCTTTTTCAAGTCCTAGAGGCTCCTGGATTCCCGGGCTCCAAGCCCCGCATCAATGCAACCTCTGATCCCCTCCTCACATCTCCTGCTCTGACTCTGACCCTCCAGCTCCCTCTTACAAGGACCCTCATGATGACATTGGCTCCCCCTCTGAAGAGCCAGGATCATCTGCCCATCTCAAGGTTCTTAATTACATCTGCCAAGTCCCCTTTATGGTGTAGGGAAACACAGTCACATATTCTGGGTGTTGGGACAGGGACACCTTTGGGGACCGCTATTCTGCCTACTGCAACACCCTAGTGTGGGAAAGGTGCCCACCACCTGCTGTGCTGATGCTCTTGGTGACACGACAAAGGAGCTAGACCAGCTGGCTTCTTTCTATATGAAAATGTTCTTTGGGTGCCAGCACTGCATGTGTATCTGCAATGTAGGAGACACAAGGCGGGAAACAGACAGAAACCAGCCTGGGGAAATCTCTTCCATTCTTGCAGCACATACAAAAGGAATTTCCTAGACATCTTCCTAAATTTCACACAGTCCCAGAAATTGAAATCACATCCCTTTGGGTTCTGACACCTAGGGCCATTTTATGAGCTTAAACAACATTCAAACCCAAAGCCAACCTAGTCCACGTGATGCTAAGAGACTCTTAATAACCTGAAGACATGAACCCCAGAGCTCCACCCTCCACGCCTTCCTCAGGTGCCTGAGGTTGAGAACAACTTTCAATCCCACAGAACTGTCCGCGGCCGTGTTTTCCTTCTGCCAGTATCAGCGCGGTACTCGTGGCTTTTGAAAAGCTGGAACTTCACACGCTCGTGCTCGCCCACATGCACGGAGCTTAGGTGCAACTTAAAATCCTGGCATGATTCCAGGAAGCTCTGGCTGTGAGATGCCTTATTAAAAGCAAAGGGAGATGATTGCCAGTTCCTGCCTCCATAGCATCTGAAAATCAACAGTATGAAAGTAAGAACATATTCTCCTAGGACGAGTCCTTTCCTGTTTTAGGACGCCTTAGAAGTCTTAGAAGTGCAGTAGCAAGGAGGGTCTTCACATGTCCAGGGCCTGTGTGAATGGAGCTCAAGCCACCTCTCCCTATACCCTAAGGCCCGTACTTTGCTCAGGCCCACACAAGTATGCCCAGCCAGTGTCCTTCCTGGGGCTGGTTTTTGCATAAGGTAACCTCTCACTATGAAAACGTTTCCTGTTGTGTTGTCAGTAATGGCCCAGACTGGCATGACTCACCAAAGGGAAAATTCAAATTCTAGCAAAAGGCCACTTGGTAATCCCAAGGCCAGGAAGCTTTGATCCCAACCCCTAGTTGAAGCTTCAGTAACTTCCTGTTGAAGTGGCTCCCAAATTCTAATCCATGTCTCAAGGCTCCCAACCAAGGGCCAGAGCTTAGTATTTGGGCTTCTCAGGTCATTTCACTTTTTCTTCGGCAAGGTAGGCGGGCAGGTGGATGGCGGACTGCCCCCTTTATCAGTGATGAGAGCCAGATTAGAAGATACGTATTTGATGTTTATCAGTAATGGGCTACGACCGACTGCCCAGAAGATTTCATTTTCCCCCCGAAGGAAGGACGGTGCCCAGCGATCGCAGCCTCACCCCCAGCCCTTATATCATATGTGGACCTGACACCACACAGGCTCAGACCAGAACACGTGCTCTCGCCCACCGGCCAGGCCGCCTCCCAGAACAGAAGCGCGGAGGGGAGAAGCAGAGTTATTCATCCCTGAGCCTTGTCTTAGAGTCACAGGAGGTACATGATTTCTTTCCCCTACGGGAAGAGGGAGTGAGGGGCAGAGAGATCACGAATCCTGCGCTAGAAGATGTTCTTCTTGGTGGAAATGCAAAGAGACAGCACGGAAAGGAAACTACAGTCTCCCTTCAACACCTCCTTTGTGCCCGGAGTTATTCTAGGTAACCAAAAATAAACTGTATTTTTTTTTTTTTTTTTTTTTACTATTTACACATGTAAATTATTAAAGTCCATGTCAAAATGTCAAGATAGAGTGGAAAATTCCCAAAATCAAAAATCATCCTTAAAAATAAGCTTGTGCCTCCTGTTGTTATAAAATTGTGTCCAAAACAAACTAAATAACCTATAAATTTGTATCACAGAGTCACTGGGAACATACAAGAAAGAAGACTAGGCAAACCGGCTGGACAGCTGCCACCGTGACCTTTGAAATAAATATTATGGTCAATTCTTAAGAACTTTCCACGTGGAAAAGGAAAAATAAATAGCAGCCCAATAGTAGAATTAAAGAAGAAGGAAAGCAGTGCGCTTTCTTACAGTATGAATAAATGATTGCCTTTGGAAAAACTCTGAAGAGATGCATTTTTCATTTAGAAAATATTTTCCTGTTTTTGGATAATGCCAGTTACCACAAAGTAATATGATGATGAAAAATTCCTTTTATGACTCATCTTTAAAATGAATTTAAATTCATATTGGAAACTATTTGTCCACTCTTACCTTCCATTTCAACAGCCAGAAGTGAAAAATCTTTCGTAGCATCTCAACAGGAAAGATTTAACAAATCTGAAACTCACACAGGGCGCTTCTTCCCACAGTCATTTATAGAGGAATTATCTCCTTTCCCCAAAGTAATCCAAGAATCTCAGTACAGTTCAGTGGGAACAGGGTATTTGTAAAAAGAAATTTTATAGATATGTTCCTCAATACCAAAAAAATTGCACCCATGCCTTTTTACATCAACTAAACCATTCCTCAAATGGAATGGTTTAGTCTGGCCATCATTTGAACAACTTTTACAACCTGGGTAGCACTGTTGCTGACCATTTGGAACTAGCTCTTATACCCTCCATTCCCTTTCTGATTTACCACTGGCTTCTGATTCTTTGCCCAAAAGTATTGGCTTCTTTCAACAAACTTTAAAAGCAGCCCTGGAAGGATATTTCAAATATAAACAGATCCAGCTACTTACTAAATTTAGGTCAACAGCATTTGATGGGATCGGCAAGATTTCCCCAACTTTTTTTCAACTACTAGTCCAGTCCCACATGATAATTTTCTTTAAAATGCTTAGATTCCGTAGTGTCTACTGAGCATACAACATGCGACTCTAAGACAAATGAGTAAAACTATCCCATATGGAAACTGGTATGGCAAGTGCACCACTAGACAACAATAACAAAAAACTGGCATTGGCTTATTGCTTTGGTGGCAAGGAAACTCATACTTTAGAATAGAAAGCTGATGACCTTGAACAAACCTTGAAAATAGTTGGTAAATGTGTCACATACGGTAAATTAAAAGGTGGAGTATGTGATTTTTGCAGGACATGAGTGGAAAAAGAAAGTTCTTATGTTTGCTGACCCTAATTGTTTTTTACTAAGGCATTACAAAAAGGAAACTAACTTAGGCAATAATTGGCCAATTTGCAGGCAGAGATGTAAGGAAACAGTGGGGTGAGAAATTGGGGTCATTAAGAAAAAGAAACTGTTTCTGTCCTCCATCACAGGAATTACCAATGCTGAGCAATGCCTTTCTCAAAGGCCATATTTAGTCATTTAAAAAAAAAAACAACAACAAGAGATCAAGCCCTAAGACAATGATCTGATTCACAATGTTGTCTAATATATTAAATGATCTCATGGTAGGCAGAGTTAAGACGAGAGAGAAAGTCTTGGGTAAACTAAGAAATCAAATACGCGAGGCAGACTCAAGACCTTTTTCCAGAAAAGGACTCTGGGAATGACGACAGACTCATGAGCCTCCTGGGCAGTAAATAAATTGGAAACCTATGACATTTTTTGAGGAATTTATATTCTTAATTAAACTACAAGCCTTGCCTGCAGAGGAATACCCTCAAAAGCTCTCATACAGATATCAAAAAGAGGAGTTTCTACAGATCTACAGTAACCCAGGCAGGTCGTGATGGCCAATGTCCATCTTATACGTAGCCAAGGAGAATGACAAACAAGGATATGCCTCCCAGAGACCCAAGCAGCGGAGCCACCACCAGAAGCACTACCGTCCACTAAGATTTCATGATCGCTAGCTATGTCTTCACTGTATCTGCTTCTCATTCTCCCCTTTTCTGATGATAGATCATCATATGTACCGTGTTACTGCAATGCCATTTTATATGGAAGAGGGCAGGGAACTTGGCTTTTACTTTTTAAATCAAAAAGTGGGTGATGATGGGGCCTCCCTGGTGGCGCAGCGGTTGAGAATCTGCCTGCTAATGCAGGGGACGCGGGTTCAAGCCCTGGTCTGGGAGGATCCCACATGCCGCGGAGCAACTAGGCCCGTGAGCCACAACTACTGAGCCTGCGCGTCTGGAGCCTGTGCTCCGCAACAAGAGATGCCGCGATAGTGAGAGGCCCGCGCACTGCGATGAAGAGTGGCCCCCGCTTGCCACGACTAGAGAAAGCCCTCGCACAGGAACGAAGATCCAACACAGCCAAAAATACATACATAAATAAATTAAATACTCACATAAAAAAGAAAAAGTGGGTGATGAGAAGTCTCGTATGGGCCTGCAGAAGCAAACTACACCTCTCTCAAGAGCTGGATGCTCTCACTGCATACGACTTGGGGTTGTCCTCCCTTCGAATGGGTTCCTACAGATGGAAAACAAGCAGCGTGCATATGCTTCAGGGCATAAAAGATTGGACTTTGGCCGACTTCTCAATGTGTCCCTAACCAACCCCTCCCCCCACCTTTTTTTGCTGTTGTTGTCCTATGGTTACGGCCGCAGCATACTTTATTCCTGCTCTCCAAGTACAGATGTGGTCTGTACCTAGTTCTCAGAAGTAGGAATGTGAACAGAACTGCTACGTAACACTTCTGGGTCCTTATGGGTGCTCCTGATGGCCCCTCTCCCTTTGCCTTCTTGCTGGCTAAAATCTGCGACCCCTAGAATAGCATTGGGAGTCACGTGATGATGTAAGGGTCTCCTGCTCTCCTGGGGCCTTGGGTGACCATTTGGAGCCAGATCTGCCTTCATGCTCTGGGTGGGAGAGAAATGCATGTCTGTCTTTTGGACTGGCTGTCCTGTGCTGTCTCTTAGTTATAGCTACTTAGCTTTTACCCCCCTGTAGTAAGAGTCAGGAAGGATGCTAAACATTCCAGAAACCAGAAAAGTTGGTCTTTACAGAGATATCTTGTTAATTTTGACCTGGCTTCTATTGTCTCTGTTCATTATTATCGGTGCAAAGAGCCCCAGATGGTTCCGGCCATTCCTGCCATCACTTCAGAAGTACGGCTGAGATAGGCCTTGCTGTAGTCTCAGGAGAAGAGTGTGCGTCTGTGGTGGGGGAAGGAATCCACATGGATCCTTTCTGCTAGAGAATGTAAGCCATCATTGCTGCGTGGCCATCACTGTGATCATTTGTCACACAGGGTCAGTGGACACGTGTGTCCAGAACAACCCAGAAAGGACGCCCTCTGGAAGCATTCAGTGCTCTCAGTCAGCACTACTCCCCTTTGCAGTACTCAGCCTGGGCATCGGGAGTCAACAGTCCACCTGCGACCGACAGTCCGGTGCCTAGCCCGCCAGGGCTGCCACAACAGAGGCGCTCAGCAGCATTGCTCATCACCTGTGGAAGCTGACCTCCTGAGAGCCCACCCCGGCTGGGAGTTAGGTTTCAGCAGCCATGCCTCTCATGCTAAGGTAACAGAATGGCAGGGGAGGCTGCCTCACCAACTGTCTCCCCACAGATCACTGGGAAACTAAAATGCCTCTCTGTCTGCCACAGGTGCAACCCTCTGTCTCTGGCGAGCACATCTTTCTGTGAGTGTCTGACAAGAGGCAGGGGAGAAGAGCCAGGTGAAAGGGCTTCAGAGGCTACAGACATTCTCACACTTGCACATGGCACAGACGCTCTCCAAATGGGCATTAGGCTAAGCGCAAAGAGGCAGTCACAAAGGGATGAACAGTGTATGACTGCGCTCATATGGGGTCCCTAGAGTCGTCAAACACATGAGGCGGAAGAGAGAATGCTGGTCACCAGGGGCTGGAGGGAGGAAAGCACGGGAGCTGGTGCTTAATGGGGACAGAGTTCCAGTTCTGCAAGATGAAACAGCTCTGGACACGGATGCTGGTGATGGTTGCTCACAATGTGAATGTACTTAATGCCACCGAATGGACACTTCAAAATGGTTAAAATGGCAAACCTTATGGTATGTACATGTTACGTTAATAAAAAAAAAATTTAAGTGAAAAAAAAAGTGACCGAGATGTCTTCAGTGTCTGAAAGTACACATAAACTGTGATACAGCAGCACAGCTGAATATGAACCAGGGTTAAAAGAAATGAACTATGTTAAAAAGCCACGAAGAGATGCAGAGGACTCTTAAATGCGTACGACTAAGTGAAAGATGCCAATCTGAGAAGGCTACGTACTGCGTGATTCCAACTATAACATCCTGGAAAAGGCAAGTCCACAGACACGGTAAAAAGAGCAGTGGTTGCCAAGGGGTGGGGACGAGGGAGGGGTGTACAGGTGGAGCACAGGGGATTTTCAGGGCAGTGAAAATGCTTTGCATGATGCTACAATGATAGAAACGTGTCATTATACATTTACGTAAACCCACAGAAGGTCCAACACAAGCAGTGAGCCCTAATGTAAACTATGGACTTTGGGTGACGATGTGTCAGTATAGGTTCATCAGCTGTAACAAATGTACCCTCTGGAAGGGGGTGTGGACAAGGGGGGAGGCTGTGCATGTGTGGGATCAGGGGGTGTAGGGGGACTCTCTGTGCCTTCCCCTCCATTTTGCTGTGAACCTAAGACTGTTCTAAAGAGTCTTAATAAAGTAATAGCAGTGAAAACAAATTTCTCCTCCACCTCCAGCATTGACTAAACAAATTTCTCCTCCACCTCCAGCATTGACTAAACAAATTTCTCCTCCATCTCCAGCATTGACTAAAAGGATCATCTTCATGTTACGTAAATCTATGCAAACATAAACTGATTACAAACTCCTTAATCTCTAGCATTACACAATAATGAAACCAAATGAAATTTACAAAGTAAAGCAAACAAAACCCATAAAATCCAAATTCTTGTTCATTTAATGTGATCGAAGCTTCTGCGCTGCTGAAACCGAATGGCTGCTTAGAACGTACGTGTGGATCTGGCCGCCACGTGTGAGGCATGGCCAACTGCAGAGCGATGTACTTAACTGCAGTGCCCCCCAGACTCACCACCCAGGCATGCTTCTCTCTTCTCGGAAGAACAAAGTCCACTCAAACAACCGGCACTGAGGTCCTGTGGTATTCACTGGGAGAAACGCAGCATTTATGTACTTAGCCCATCTCTCTTCTCTCACTACTCGACCGAAGCAGAAGGTACCACTTGGCACCAGGGCAACTGTAAACACAGACAAAGGTACTGCACTGAGACCTCATACTGAGTCTTGTGTAAAGTTAGCCATCTTGACAATGCAGGGTGGGGTTCGTTAATTTTTAGATTAAATGAAATCTAAAATGAAGACAAAATGAAGACAAAAAAAAAAATAAGAAGAAACAATGTGGCAGAAAATCAGCTACATACCAGAAATTTGTCTGCAGGCCCCCAGATTAGATTCAATGACTTTTGGATCAATTCTGAACTGCTTTCATATTTCTTCCAAGAATATGTTCAAGTTGGTTCACAGGCAAAGAAGAGGAATAGTAGTTGACACAGAAGGTAAATTTAGTTCTGCTTTTAATCACAGTGTGATTGTGAGGGAAAGTATTTCTCTACCGTGTTTTCCTCTCTTCAAAGAAGGGTCAGATGGTGTCTATGATCTGTCCTATCTTTAAAACTCTGTTTTAAATACAATAGTTTTTTGGCTGGCACATCTATATGCTAAGCATAATAAAATTTTAGCTGCTATAAAATGATTTTAAAAAAACGGCTTTAGCCCTACACACTAGAACACTGTCACTGTCTAAAATCAAATCACTGTGAAATGGACATTGATGTATATTGTGTAAAAATGTCTTTAGTTTAGTCTTCTCATTCATGGTTGCGTGAACATACTTTTTGTACTTTTTTTTAGCAGAGCTCAAAACAAAGTCATAGCATCCCCCGTTAGTGCAGTCCTAAACCGAATTCACCAGCTATGCTTCTCACACATTTCCTGTGTGCTAAAGGTCCTATCAAAATGATGTAACTTGATATATACCAGGGATCTGCAACACATCCTCAGTAAATGGCGAGACAGTAAACAAGTTTGTCTTTTCAGGCCACACGGGCAGCTCTCCAACTCTGCCACTGCAGCAAGAAGCAATTATAGACTCTGTACGTGAATGACCTTGGATGTGTGTCAGTAAAACAGGCAGTGGGCTGAATTTGGCCAGGGGCTGCCATTTGCTGACACCCAGTGTATAGGAGGGACCCACTAAGATAATGTGAACGTAAGGAAATGAAGAATAATTTTCATACTCCTGTAACTGTTTAGATATTGAAACAATGAAACTTCAAAGTTTAACGTATCAGACTTTAAAAGGAAATTGTATACATTTCTTAAGTATTTTAATGTATGGTATCGTGTATGAAAATCAACCTGATACAGTGCAAATATATGTTTATTCCTCTCATATGAATTATGCCTACACTTTGTGTGTTCAAAGCATCTAATGTAAGGTAACTTCCTTTCAAACTCTTCCTTGAAATCAAGTTGAAAAACAGACTCAAAGGATAATTTGATATCAGTGAACAGTTAATTTTTCAGAGTATTTTCTTTTCTTTAACAAGCAATCTTGGAGGATAAAGATATGACAGCTTTTTTGCAAGGAAAATTTAGTATTTTTTAGAATTTTAATAGTAAAAAGTTCTTCCTCCTCCTTAGAAAGAACATTATCTGCTTTGAGGTAGTAGGTTATTTCTTCTCAAAGGTTTTGCTCTAGTTGGAAAGTCACACATCACCTTAATCCCACTGATAAAAACTTGGGGAGAGCATCGAAGATGGCAGAGTAGAAAGACCCTGAGCTCACCTCCTCTCAGGAGGACACCAAAATCACAACGATCTGCAGAACAAACATCAATGAAAGAAAAAAAAAAAACCTTGGACTTTTTGTCAGTTTCGAACAGGCATCTATGAAGAGAAAGTCCTTATACAAAATGAAAGAAACAGCTTTAGCATCATGTATTAGGACGCTGCTTACTGTCTTAAGTTATTGTAAAAAGGACATTGACATATAGCAGATGAAATATGCCATGCCATGTCAAATTAAAACCATTTAAAATCCCAGGCTAAGTCAGCATGACCATTGTGAACTGAATTAAATTTTATTCATGGGTTAAAAGTGTTTTTCAGTCAATGTTTTAATAAGTACAATTTCAATCTTATGGTCCATCTAGAATTGTTTAACCAAGGCACACTGAATAATAATATCTTAAAAGAAACTGATACAAAAGGAAATGGTACATGCCAGTACCCCTAATTCAGAAAGAATGGTAGATAAAAATGTTCCTAACCACTGACCTTGAGGGAAAATTAAATTTGGGTACAATAATAATACCTTTAGGCGGAAAGCCTTTGGAAATGCAAGGGAACCCCACATGCCGAACACTGCCCACTATTTTCAGTCTCCCTGTTGATATATACGTACGTGCCTACTCTCTTAGGGGTTCACAGAGATTCAGGCAGCCCGGAACAAGACGAGGAAGGAATTAAACATTTACATTTTAGGATCACTGAGAAATTTAAACCCATCTATTCAACTTACTAATATACATTCTTCCTTCAGAGCTTCAGGTTTGGATTTAAACAATCTATTTTTACGCAGAATCAACAATCGAAATACATATTTTTATTTCTGGTAAATGCTGGCCAGATAAGGAATGACGGGGAAAGCCCAAACGAACTCTGAAAAGAGAAACAGAAAATAGATGCAGTTATTAAACTGGGTCCTGTTTTGTTAAGTAACATCCTGGCGTCTCAGACCTGACTGCAATTTTCAGAAAGCAGAGGTACCTAGGATGAATTTGAGATTCACAGAGACACAAATGATTGTCAGAAGAATGTGAGGCACAAAAATTTAAGAATCCCCAGAAGAAACAGATGGGGAATACAAGGATTTCTGCAGGGTCAGTTCTTAAAGGACAAAGAAGTTTCATCCCCCGCCCCCGCCTGCCAAAATCATAGGATGGAATGCCTTAAAAAAAAAAAAAAAATTCACATGTAAAGAAAAAGGGCACGTTTGATGTCTGTGAAAAATAAAACTTTTTGGACATTGGAATCAATATGTTCTGGTACAACGTAACTACAAATTATGCTTGTCATAGCGGAGCAATGCTGAGTCTGTCTCATTCTCTGTCTACCGTACAGTAGCCTTCCCCGCCCACTTGTGAACCTGTCCTGCATGTTTTTATTAGTAGATCCTACACTCTACTGTAGACTATTTCAACGGCTATGTTTAAAGTGACTTTGGTCTTTACACATTTCTCCTGGTTTGTCCGTTTTAGCTGACAGTTTCTTGATTTTATCAAAGGGAGCGCGCACAAATTAAGATTCCCAATAAAGCGACATAAGATCATTGATTTCAAAATAAATCAATTACCGTAGAACGAGCTAGGGCTTCAGCGTCAGAAGATCTGGGTTAAAACGCCAAACTCTACCAGCAGCTAGGCACTTGGCAGCCCTGATGCAGTTAGATTCTTTCTCCCCCTCTCTCTCCCGGGTACATTTATCTGATCCAACTCCCTAGGAGATTTTTTATTTTGTAAAATGCGGCCGAGATCTGTGAAAGTTCTCAGCCAAGTGAGAAGTCCTGCACGATGACGTCAAGAGAGTGTAACAGAGAGGTGCCGGAATGCAAGGCAGAAGACCAGGCTCTAGATGGACGCTGACCTGTAAGCAGCTGGGTGCCCCTGAGGAAGCCCTGTAGCCACAGCGGTGCTGTGGAAACGGTGCAGATTTGCAGAGAGGTGAGACGCCCTTCGAATCCCCGTGTGCTGTTGGACATACTTGTTAGCTTTTCCCTCAACGTCCAAATTTGTAAAGAGCAAATGATACACCGGAGTCTCAGGGTTTCGGTGGGAATTAAATCACATAAGGTGGTAAAGCACAGACGCCCGTCCCAGGGATCTCCTCCGTGAGCGCACGTCCCCTCGAAGGCCCAGGTGGTGACGACGCACCTGCCACCTGTGCCGGCAGGGGACGCCCTCAGCAGGCCTTGCACCTGCTGACCTGGTGTCGCTCACGACTCCCCTCCTGCAGGGGGCTGCCCACCCTGCCCTGAATGCACAGACCGTACCCACCCCTCAAGGCCGAGGTCAAAGTCATCTTCCCAGGAGAGCCCTCACTGTCCGCCAGCCTCAGCCAACTTCCCCTCTGAATTCCCGGAGCGATTACCACGGCCTCACGCCCTCTCTAACCCTGCCACACTGCCAAGCGCTACGTGCTGCTCCCAAGGTTTTGAGATTCTTATTTAAGTACTGACTTGTGGGCTCTTCATGTTTTAAATTACTCTCTTGACCCCTACATTTTACAGTCCCTCACAGTGTCGTAAGTAGCACAGGGCTCAACAAGTAATTTTTGACCTCACTGCTTATGACTCTTCCACGTGTGCATTTAAACTTACCATCTTTAGTTTGCAGCAGGTTGACAAAAACAGAGGTAGCTATAAAACATCGTAAAATTTATTTTTCCAGCTTTTATTTTCAAAATACATTTGCTTGTGCCTGTCATTTCATCCTTCTACCCTCTCAGCAGTGAAAGACGTTTCAGATAGACTGAATTCCATTTTTTAAGGTGGGATCATCATTCATCAAGAGGTGCTGATCTGGGCTTCCCTGGTGGCGCAGTGGTTAAGAATCCGCCTGCCAATGCAGGGGACTCGGGTTCGAGCCCTGGTCCAGGAAGATCCCACATGCCGCAGAGCAACTAAGCCCGCGCGCCACAACTACTGAGCCTGCGCTCTAGGGCCCGAGAGCCACAACTGCTGAAGCCCGTGCTCCTAGAGCCTGTGCTCCGCAACAAGAGAAGCCACCGCAATGAGAAGCCCACGCACCGCAATGAAGAGTAGCCCCTGCTCGCCGCAACTAGAGAAAGCCTGCACAGCAACGAAGACCCAATGCGACCAAAAGTAAAATAAAAAAAAAAAAAAAAAAAAAGAGGTGCTGATCTGACTTGACCAACATTTCACATAAGGGACACTGTTGCCTCTGTTTGTTATCAGTTTTCATTATGATTACTTCTCAATCCAAACATCACATTAAAGATAATATTTCTCAATTAAAAAATCAAAATACACAGTTTAATAACATAAATTTTAAAGCAAGACTGTATAATTTATATATACCTTAGTATTTCTAGAGAAAAATTAACATTTAACTTGCATATTCAGATACCTGTTAACACTGACCTGTTTACTTGGAAGGTTTTGTTGTGCACATCTGTAGACCTAGCAGTTCATATTCACTGAACTCAAAAAATGGGGGGCAGTTTGTTGTAGATGTAGATGCAGCCAACCTGTGTGTGTGTGTGTGTGTGTGTGTCTGTGTGTGTGTATGTGTTATTTTCCACTGAGGATACTTGGACACTTGACAAACTAGAGAGTTCTCTATACAACATATTACTGAGTTTGACCACAGCAAATCCCCTGCCCAAGAACTCTTCTGAAGCATATTTTTCTGTCTTTCCAGGTCTTATGTCTAGTTCCCAGTTCAGTACAGGCAAAAAAAGATGCTGATGGGAAAAAGAAATGAAACTGACACTTGCAGAAATAATCAATATGGCTTCCCGGCTGGGGCCCACAGCAGCAGGCCCACAGCTGTACTCAGAGTAACTGCAGGATGGCGATTGCTGTGGGAAAGCCTTACCTCAAGACACTGCGAGACGCGAAGGTGGGAGATGAAATAAAAGGTGAATCATTGGAAAATTCACCTGGTCTGACCGTGCTGGAATACAGAGTTGGAATGACTAATGGCAAAGCAATTTTAATGTTCTTAAAAGTAACAAGCTTTTTTTCTGGGCTGGGGAGTGGTGCATTAATTTAGCAAATGCAATAAAACCCCCTGTTTTGCATTTGAACACCTCTTGAGATCAGAGTACAGCAAAATCATTCTCAAAATTTACCCAGATTAATATTCAGCTTTATCGCCATGCTAATAAGTATGACTCAACCAGGTTACAATATGGGATGTGGTCGGACTACAGCATTAAGTTGAAACAGTCCTTATTCACCAACAATATTTTAAATCACTCATTTGAGAAAGGAGGAAATATGGTTCTGTTCCTGGTAAGTCATTAGAATACTGTATCTGACCACTTTTCCACTGACAGATTAGCGTATCTTCACTTCACTATGAGAACAAATTCAAAGAGCTTAGACAAAGAGATTGTGACACTATTTTTTTCGACAAGCCAGTACCTTTCTTTTTTTATTTATTTTTATTTATTTTAATTTTTTTGCGGTATGCGGGCCTCTCACTGCTGTGGGCTCTCCCGTTGCGGAGCACAGGCTCCGGACGCGCAGGCTCAGCGGCCACGGCTCACGGGCCCAGCCGCTCCGCGGCATGTGGGATCCTCCCGGACCGGGGCACGAACCCGCGTCCCCTGCATCGGCAGGCGGACTCTCAACCGCCAGTACCTTTCTTATCTCCAAATGTGAGGGCCTGAGTATAACACATTCGAAACACCCTGATTTAGATGGGATGGAAGAATTTAATATATTTTAGAGGAGAGTATCGTACCCAAAGTGGTTTAAAAGATGACAATTTTTTCACTTAAAGTGCAGGAACCATTTATTCAAAACAATGTTCATATATAGAACGCATGGCTTACCCAATGGAAATGGATGAAACAAACTCTTCTTATACCACTAAGCACAACTACATATGGATTTAGTAGTTTTTCAGTGTGCTACCCCAGGAATTTTTCTAGGGCTCATAACATTATTTATATGAGAGAATGTGTTCTGAGTTCTGAACAACCACTTACGAAGGGACTGCTGGAACTTTTCTAATGTAATAAACATCACCATGACAATATACAATGTTGCTTAATATTTGGGGCAGTCTTTATTTACCTTCAGTGATGATACAACTTGCAAAACCATGTGGTATTAAAGAGAAGGAGTCTGACTGTCTTCAAAGAAACCCTTACGAAACTGGGAAGGTTTGCCTAATGTGTTTGACTCTTAAGGAGTTACTTATGGGAAATAAGAAAAATGGTTAATAGGTGCTTCCACATATGTGACAGGAATATTGCAGAGCTGGAAAATGACAAAGATGTGCATTTGTCTTGCAGGGGCCACAAAAGACTTACTTAAGTGAAAATCTAGGTCAAAATGGACTTTGGAACCCTGCTCTCCTCCGGGTATTGAAATAGAGATTATTGCTTTATATCTCAGGACCCTGCCAGGCATGGTGTGAGTATCAGGGATGGGACAGGTGACACCAGATTGGAAAACAGTTAGAAATTAAACCTGCCCAGTTGTTAAAGGTGGGCTGCTCAAAACCCCAATCCAACAAAGGGAAGACACATCCACCGGTAAGAAGAGAGCCAGACAGGTGTACAAGAAGAGCCAAGAGAAGTTATCCGGAAGGACGGTAGATCGGCCTCTGGTTAAAAACGCAGGCTTTGGAATAGGTCAATCTTGAGGGTACGGTCAGACTCTGCCACTTCATAGGTATGCAACCTGCACCAGGTTTTTAAACTCCTGACTCTGAGTTTCTTCTTACGTAGACTGGGAATAACACTTCACATCTGATACAGTTGTTGTAGAGTTCAAGGGCGTGAGGTGTGCTAAGGGTCTGGTGCACCACAGTGACTCATATTATTGCACCAAGCAATAGGACTTGATGGAGAGGCACTCAGGTCTCATGGGTCACTAGACCCACGCACACCAGATGAGGAGATGT